GATATGATTATTAAGACCATTTCTATAGACTTTGTGTCTTAAAAATTGAATGTGCGTGTGTGTAACTGTGTGTGTGTGTAAACTGTATGTGTTATTTGTTAGCAAGCAATAAACATGAGAGACATTATAATGAGATTAAAACAAAATTAATAAAATTAATGATAATAGCAAAACATGACAAACAGACATAAAGGTAACAGGAACAAAAAGAAAGAGAGAGAGAGAGAGAGAGAAAAAGAGGTAGTTCATTGATCACCATCATATGTTATGTTAACCTCAATCTACAACATTCTAATGTTAAGGATATAAACTGACATTTTCTGATGCATATACAAATTTGAGTTGATTTCAATGAAAATTAGATTTTTTACAAACTTTTAAAGTTGCTCCAAAATCAGGCCAAAGTCTCTGTACTATATAGTACAGGGTCATTGGCCAAATTTTGCCAAAAATGACTAGGAGAGAATTCTCTATTTTTTATTACATTTTCTGATGCATATACATGTACTTATGTTGTGTAGAAAGTTTGAGCTGATTCTGATCAAAATTAGACTTTTTATAAATTTTTAAAGTTGCTACGGGCCAAAATCCCTGTACTATAGTATTAGATGTACTATAAGTATTATAATTATTATTATACTTAATTAATTCATTAGTGTAAAAGGATACACATCTGAGTCCCCTATCCATTGGATCACCCATTAACACTCCTTGTCTCTCAAAAACATGATAATTTCTCTCTTGAATGTATCTAGCAGCTCTTTCAGTGCACTAAGGAGGGGAGGAGCAACAGAGAAAGAGGAGTACCATAGATATTAGAGTAAATAAATTAATTTCATTTACTCTAACATCTATGGGAGTGCCGTATATACATGTAGCTCCAAATTTTCATCACTCAAAACTTCATCAAAATCTTAGTTTCTTGTTAAAACTAATTTTTGTGAATAAGAATTTTGTTATAAATCCACATGTCACCCGTGTGGACAAAAATTTCGTCAAACAAAGAATGACTGCCAAAACTTTTGACTGATGAAAATTTGGAGCTATTATGGTGATATCATGGTAATATGTAATCGTAAGCTTCACTCCTACCTAACCTTCCCTCTTACTTACTTTCTGATAAT